CAGGTCGAACCAGTCCCGGCCCTTGACACGGTTTTTCCATTGGCGGAACAGCAGGGCATGCATTTTACCTGCAAATAAATCAGGCAGGCTGAAGCATTTTACATAAAAAGAAAAAGGACGCAGCAATAGTTTTTCATCGGTGGAAAATCCACCGGGGGGATGGGTATCCACTTCGAGTTTGATTTTTATTTCCGGGCGCATGGCGGTTTTCTCCGGAGGCACAATGCTTTTTAATACCAGTTGCTTCCAGGTTGTATTGGCTTTGAGAAAAGCTGAATCTATTTTCGTCTGTTTTGTCTTTGTTTTTTCTGTAACACTTACCTGCATGCCCAGGGCTTCAAATTCCGCCAGCATCCCATCCAGGTAGGGTTGCAGGGAAAAGTCCTCCTGTTCCTGCAATAGAGAAAAATCAAGATCTTCCGAGAAACGCGGCAACCCATAAAAAATACGCAGGGCCGTGCCCCCGTAAAACGCCGCCTGTTCGAAAAATCCTGCCCGTTGAAGACCGGCCAGGGCGATCTCCTGCATGATTTCCCGGAGGGCCTGTTCAGCGGCCTGCTGGTTCGCAGGTTGGTATTCTGCCAGCCATTCCTTTATCATAATTCCTCCAGTGTTTTTACCAGTATTTGTAAACTGTTTTGCTTGGGCGCCTGCTTCAGCCAGGATTGTATCAATGCAGGCTTCAACTGTTCCAGGGAGGAGCGGGCTATGCGCCTGTCCCCGGTAAGCCATTGCCTGGTTTGTGTAATACTGCGCAACTGCAGTCCCGCGGTATTGATAATAAGATCACAGAGGGCCTTCTCAGGAATGGCGACCAATGCCACCTGGTTTTCAGCAAGCGTGATGGCCTGTTGTCCGTAGCTGTACCATGGCAATGGTGCATGGGTATAACGGAATAGCCCCACCGGGGTAGCATAGTCCTTTGCACGGGCCGTGGTCATACTGCTGACTCCATACACTTTCTCCGGGATCATGCCCCAATGGGACAAGGCGGATTCCAGGGAGACATAGCTGGGGCCCAGCAGGTGGTTGGCCAGCAGAAAGGGTTCAGGGCCGGCGATACTGAGTTGGCTGCCCGGAATAAAAATGCCCCGCTTGATGGGTACCAGCTCACCTGATCTGACCAGTTCATTGATCTTATCGTAGGGACGGCGGTAGTTGTTCAACAGGCCCATCAAGAGTTGCCGTGTCAGGGGTTGCCCCTCAAAGGATCGTATGGTTTGCCGAAAGTCCAAATATGTTATTATTTACACCAAATATCGGATATTTTCCGATATTTAATTCATTTTATTACATTTTATGTTATTTATCAGTTCACTAATCGGATAAATTCCGATGAATGTCTCCTTTTTACGTTCTCAGCCAGCATTATTGGGCTATCCTTCCCATAACCCTGTATTGCATAAAAATTCCCTGGTGGCCTTGCACCAGGGAATATGAATCAGTTGTCCGGCCATTAAGAAATCTGGATACGTCGGGGGCTCTGTAGCCGGGCTTCTTCCCGCTTGGGAATCACCAGGTGCAGCATCCCGTTTTCATACCTGGCCTGGATTTTCTCTGTATCTACTACTTCTTTCTGCAGTGTGAAAGACCTTGAAAAAGACTGGTAGTGAAATTCGCGGGAAACATAACCGCTTCCTTCATCTGTCTTTTCCGGCGTTTGCCTTTCGCTGCTGATGGTAAGCAGGTTGCCCTCCAGTTCTACATTAAAATCTTTCTTGTCCATCCCGGGGGCGGCTACTTCTACCTCGTAATTTTCCGGTGTTTCCTTAATATTCACTGCCGGGACAGTCGTGTTGGTGCTGGAATAATTCGTCAATCCCCAATTAAAAATGTCGCGGTTAAAAAAATCATCAAAAAATGCCGGGAAACGATTCATCGGGTTTCCGTTTCTTTTTAAGATTGTCATAACTGACCTCCTTTTTATTTGGTTATTAAAAAATGATTACACCAGCCTAAAATCAAAATAAATGCCAGCGTCCATTACTGGGGTTTTACTGCTTTTTTTTCAGTCCTGGCCCCATTTTTTATGCTATCTGCTGAAAAAAAAACATGAAATTTTTTCGGGCAGGATTTATTAACGGCACAATGATTGTCAAAATTTCAGCATTCCCCGCAATGGCATCCGCATTGATCAGCAAAAAATAAAACAAGGGATGATGCACAGGGATTGCAGGATAAGGGTTGTTATCAAAACCATCCGTGGGTTTGAAACAATCTGCGAATACTACTTGGGTGGCAATTACGATACTGCACTGTCTGTTTTTTTACAACTGGAGGGAAATGACGGCGCGGGAGAAAGCGATGTGCTGCAGGTTGATCTCATTGATATGCAGCAGGGACTGCCCCTTAACCTGCGGATAAAACACTGTACGCTTTCCCAAATGTCGAATAATTGCCGCATCCTCACCAGGGAAATTTTTAAGCAGCGAAACCTCGTGGGATGAGCCAGTATGCTATCAAAGCTATTGTGAACTAAAAGCTATTATATATGAAAACCATTTTCAAGGAGTACAATGAAAAATTTATCAGGCCATTGATGGACCTGATCCGGAAACTAGTCAACAAAAAAGATGATGACGACCACCCTTTCAATCATCCCTGGGCTATCTTTTAAATGCATTGTATTTACAAAGTGCAATAACCAGTCATTTAAGTAAAAATTCAGTTGCCTTGCATCTGCAGGTTTTAACGTTCTATTTTCTAATTCAAAACCCACCAGGCATTGCAAGTGGGGATTAAAAAAGAGGGGATCAATAAAAAACGCATCGCTATCAACCTCAAGCCGCTACCGATTACCTATAAAGCGAAAGTTTTTGCCCATTTGCAGAATGAAGTTGCGGATGTTTAAGACGACCTGCTGAAAAACCCAATTCCTAATGCCTGGCCAATTGGTTCGATGGCGCCGTGACGCGATGAAGTATCCTGGTATCAGCCAATTTACCTAACTACCTGATGAGTGTTACTGTTCCTCTTTTAAACATTGGTTTTCCCCTGTAATCGATGGCCTGTGCGATATAAACAAAGGTACCTGTGGCCAAAAGCTCTCCCCTGTAGGTTCCATCCCATCCATCATGATAGTTGGTGGTACGATAGATCAACTGGCCCAAACGGTTATAGACAGCCAGGTAACCAAACGATTGAATTCCAATAGGACTTACTTTAAACAGGTCATTCGCGCCATCATTATTTGGCGTGAATGCGTTTGGAATGTACAACTCCGGGCCGGCGTACCGCTTGATCAGTATTTTTGATTGCTTTTTGCATCCTTTGCCCGTGACTGTGCTTAAGCGGTAAAGCTGCTCCCGGTTAAGTGTTGCTATGGGCTTTTCAATATCCGGGTTATCCAAACCAGTTGCGGGAGACCATGTGTATAGCATATTAGCCTCTCCCCTGGCATCCAGTTGAACGGGTTCATCAAATGCGGCGATGGTATCCCTTCCTGCAAAAGACTTATTATCGAACACAACAAATGGACGGTAGATGGTGTCTTTGCAGCCATTACCGGTTTGGGCTATCAATGTAAAAGGCCTGTTTCCCTCGGTGTAATAGATAGCGGTAAAACTGGAAGGCTTTATTTTAAAGCCATCGCCAAAATTCCAATACCAGTTGACCACGTTACCCGCCAGGTCATTGGCCGTATACGTTACCGGTACAAAAACACAGGAATCGCTGATGCCCAATGTTATGGTTGGTTTTGGGTAGATATCAAAACTACGCTCAAGGGC